TGAACTCGCCATTGCTTTTTCAAACAAACACACTAAACATGCTAAGTATGTGTATATTCTGTTCACATGCATGTTGACATCGATGTGTGAGACCAAAAAACTACAATGTCCAAAATTGTCTTTCTTTCGGAATTTAGTTCACACGGGGTTTTTATAAGGGATGACAGAACGTTAGACTTGAAATATTATTTTAACTTTGAGATACGTATTAATTTGTTTTACCTCTGTAGATTGAATATAGTCTTAGTTTATTTCTGAAAAAAGAAGAAAAAACTGACAGAAAATTTCGCATAATTTTTTAGCGTATTTGTTAAAGGACGGCCAATTTGGGTATTATTTTCTTTAATAATAAGACACATGCTTAAAAGATGGAAAGACATCAATTTCTGACTCCAATGGCAAGTATAAGAAACAGAAAACAGAAAAATTTCCAAATTGCCGCCAATTTCATTTTTCCGCGAAATTAACGCAATTTCAGAATGGCGGGTTTTGATATCAGTCCAATTGTTGTCTTGAGAAAATAGCAACAACGGTCGTTTCTAAGGGCTTGCTTTCCGACTGCAATGTACTTTTTATGAAAAACAGATATATTGGCACTCATAGTTAATACCGACAAAGATTTCTATCAAATGAGGACTTATACACCTATTGCTCACATTTTCCTAAAAAGAATCCACATTGAGGCACCAAGAGTACTGATTGTCAATGGCAGAACACGACTAGCTATAAAACAAAATTTTGACACTCTCATAAATGCTGATAAATATTCTTATATATAAGGTTTATACATGTATTGCTCTCATATTATGTATATCAATCAATTCTGATTTACCAACAGTACTGATTTTCAATACAGCTGTACATGTCATACATTGTTAACAAAAGAAACTCACATTGGTAGTTTTAACTGATGTCGACAAACAAAACAAAACATGCTATTCAATATAAAGAAAAATATTGGCATTTAAAGAAAACATAATTAGAACTGACAATAAAATTAGCCTCTATATCAATATATTGCTGACATTTTATGTAAAACAATCAATCCTGCGGTACCAACAGAACTGCTTTCTAATACAGGTAACAATATTTCTATTAAAAGAAGAAATATTGGCACTCTGAATTTATGTTGACTAAAATTTGACTACCTGTACACTTTGTGATTCACCTTTTGTGAAAAACGGTTCATCTTGATGTGTAATGAGTACACTATCTTCAATAACTTAAGTAATTGGCCTAGTTTACACATCAATAACCTCTAGACAAAAAAATTGTTAAATCCTATATAAACTATATAGACTATACTGTGGTATAAGTGGCAATATAAACAAAACTCGAGGATTGTCAACGTTAGCGCTAAAAATTGTGACTTATTTTCCTCGATTGTGACATCACCGTATGAGACTTAATACCGGATCTATACTTACCATGATCAATACGACGGGTGCATATAATGATTCAAATTCGATTACGTAGTTATATCTCAAGAAATTGACAATATTTTTTTGTATCATATTTTACTTTTCATGATCACTGTTTCCACTGATGAAGCAGATACAGCTCACCCTACAGGGCATATAAGTTCAACATCCTGGTTTTTTGCAATGTTCGTATTGCTCAATCATTATATTTTTGTGTAATGTTTGTGGTCTGTTGTTTGACTTTCTGTCTTTTTTCGTGGTGTTTATCCTGTCTTTCTTGGAGAAATGATGTATGATTGCAAATGTAAAATATGTTATAGTTATTTTCTTGCTGAATTACAGTACTTGGATTCTTTTAAATGTTTATGAGAATCGATTTCCTAGAATGATTACAATGTATATATCTTTTCCGAATAAACATAAGTATAAAATAAGGTTTTTATAACGGTTGATAAGATCGAAAAGAAATGAACCGAAATCTTTTTGTTTGGTATCAAGCTCAATGATTCTATTTGGGGTTTTTTTTATTCCCATAATTCATATTTTAAAAACAACACAGCAAAATCATGTTTGATACATTAATACGGTTATTCTTCTGATGAAAAAAAAACACTAAGAATATTGCACTGACCTAGACAAAATCATAAAACTAGTAAATGACTTTTAACCGGTCATTTTGATCTAAACATCAGCTGCAAAGTCTGAACCTAAAAATGTTTATTCTTCGTAAGGGGAAATTAAATTTCAGGCAATCAAGTACAGTTCAGTAGCATTTCAGAAAAATTCAGTAGTTTGTAGTTTTGTACAGGTAATTAACAACTACTGAAAAGAAAGAACATGGACTGAATAGATTATAAATGACGACAGGTGAATAATTCGAACAGTACTTTATTTACAGCAAGTCAATGTGTCTAACAATGAACTGAAAGACATATAATGACTGACGAATTTATCGTTCAGTCTTTCAAGAACTTCAGTTCAAAATCAATTTAAGAGTGTTATTTGAAGTAAGAAAGACAGGATATGGTGAAAAAAGAAACAACTTACAAAAGAAAACCACGCCAGCTACGACGCAGACTGATTGAAAGCTTTTTAAACACCGTTTCAACATACAAAGGCTATTTCATGACGATATTCAATTGTATCACAATATCATATTATAAGTCAAGTTAAAGAGCCATCACACAGATAAAAGCATTGTAAAAAACACGCAAGTAAAGAACGTCAATATTATAGGTGTTATACTCGGAGCACGGTAAAATAAAAACGAGAAGGATACCAAAGGGACAAAAAGCCTCAAATTATTTGTAACTCTCACCGTGTTCTTATATGAAAATGAAGTCGAGAGTATATTTGACTTCTATCTATCAGAAATAATTTAATTCATTATAATAGAAAGAGTAAATATTGTCAGTCAAAATTAACGGTATCGCATCCGATTATAAACTTTTTGGTCTAATGAAAAATTGGGTAGTTTAACAATATTTATAAATTTTCCTTTCACAGTTCATTAAACGAGACCCCCAGATCGGAGCTTTTCCGTTTTAGATTAAACTGAATTATTTTGTATCAATTAACTTATAATTACAAAACTCAGTGAAACCCAAATAAAAGTATCTGAAAATAAAAAATAAAAATCTAATGAATACTTCTAAAAATAACACTCTTTTTCTCTTAAAATCACAAAACACAAAAACAAAAATGGACGCATACTAACGATAATGCGAAGCACTCAGTCCCTTTCTGTAAAGGTAAACAAGATGTGTCTGCTTAAGGCTGAACCTGTATTATTCTAACTTATATATATGTTGGTTTACTTCTTCTATAGTCTCTCTCATTTAGCAAACCTTGCAAATGAAAAGCTAATATCTTGTATATATTTGTATGATGAGTAAAAACATAACAACAAAAATACCGAACTCGAAGAAAAATTAAAAATGGTGAAGTCCTTCCTTCGAACCTGACAAAATCAAACGTTAGACTATATCAACCAACGGAACGAATGGAAAACAACTGTCAAGTTCCTGACTTGGTACAGGCGTTTTAGTGGGAAAATGGTCGGTTAATCATGGTTTTATAGCTATCAAACCTCCCACTTGTATGACAGTTATTGCAAATTTATTTTCTATGAAATAGAAATGAAGATCATAACGAGACTTGAATGTATAGTTCCCAGGTCTTGATATTTCAGATAACGTTTATGTCCAAATAGCAGTATCAGATTGAAGTAATTAAACCATAGTACCATGGACATCAGAATATTTTACGAAAATTAGTTTTCGGTTTCATTGGTATATATCTGTGATAATTGTTATATACTAATAAACTTATTTGGTATTTAATGGTATGAAATGAAAATAACACCTAATTGATTTCGTTCGTCCGAAGCGCTTTTCCGGAATTACCTTCATCAGGAACGCTCAAATCATAACATTTTTAAGTAAATGCACAGACCACAGAGATTTGTCTCCACTGGTTATATACACTTAATAGACTTAATAAAACAGTCTAGTCTTGTGTAAACTGGTTCATAAAAATTGACGGTGTCTCATCCTTTTTCAAATCGAATAACAGAAATTGAGTATGTCTTCTCTAAATGATTATTTTTTTATGAAACAATGCAAAAGTTATTATTTTCAAGGTTCTTTTGGGTTGTTAGAATGGGTAGTTCCAGATCCGATCAAGATATATTTTTGTTTACCCCGGACATTTATATGGCTTTAATGCGTATAATGACTTTTTGAAACGTTTAAAAATTTGTTAGTATCGAACAAAATGACCTGAATGATGCCGAGTTTAATTAAACCGCTACAACTATCTCTTTTTGCCAAACTTTGCATATTAACTAAACAATTATAATTTGCAAATATGTAATTATAATTTGGTAATTATTCAATTATTCCTATTTTTGCCTTTTCATTTTACTGAAATAATGAAATTAAAAAAAATTGGCGAATATTTTCGACACTCAAGTCTTAAAGAATTATAATGTTGTCATAAACCATCTTGATGAATTAATTTACATGTAAAAATATAATCTCGTGTTTATTATCAAATACCTTGTGTTTATGACATCGGACGTCCTGAAAAGAAATCCTAACAAATAGAATCATTGAATGAAAAATATTCTTTTTTAAATGATTGAAAATAAAGAAGAAACAAAATATGGCGAGGTTAAGCAGCCTTGTTGCAGAAAATTAATGCATAAGTAAATGAAAAATATATTTTACGCGTAATATTATTAACTTCTATCAACTTACGATAAAATAATAATAGTCTTTTTTCAAAATAATAAATTTCCAAACAATAAGCAAATGTCCGTGCATAAGCACGTCTTGGTCATTCGAAAAGATTACCATAAATCAAATCTATAATTCAACAAAGAAGCATATCATTTCACTCAGTATATAACATTATTTAAAAATAGAACTGGAAATTGTATGTATAGATTTAGATTTCTATTTTAAGCCATTTCGGCGAAATGTGTATTGATTCTTTTAAGTGGAAATTTAAATGTCTAATAATACTTATTTACAACGTTCACTGTGATTGGATATATTTTTCGGAGAGACCAATGGAATTTTATGTTATAAACTATACAAGATAGATTGTACTTTCAATTTATAACTATAGTTATTGATTCTTTAAACTGAACCAGAAGACCATTCTCGGTAAGTACTACGCACTGTTGAATATTTAGCATGTTTCAAAAGTATGACATCTCTGTTAAATATTTATCTATTGATTAAATGATCCTGTTCAGACGTAATAAGCGAGGTGTGCAACATATACGATGATTAATTTGTACAATCCGTTAGTTGATCTGTTTATAATTTAATCAAATGTCAAATATTGCAAATTTATGACATAAAGTCTACTTTCACTACGTTATCCATAACAGCTTATTAGAAAACAATCATAATCTGCCAATGTTAATGTTTGGATGATGCTGGAATTAATTTGAAGGTTGTTCCTGGACCAATTCTTTTTATAAATATTTACAACTGTTTTATCACTTAATAGTCAAAACTTTTTATAATACTTATTGTCTTAGAGGGTATTACAGCCCAACAGTCAGCCCTCCTGCGTTGACATATAATATCAATGTAGCGCTAATTTTACTGGCTATAGAATGTTGAATTATTGAAAAACCCTCAGACTTATGTTGTCCCCCCCCACACACACACACACACTTGACAAATATATGACTTTAATATTTTTTGGAAGTTTTGGCTTTGAATGATTTTGTATTTGTTTTTGCCAGTCAACTGTTTGATTGGAGTGTCCTTGATGAATCTTTGCATTTAATCTAACCTTGACATGATTGATGATCTATACCTTTGATGATCTAACTACCTTTGGGTGATATTCAATTTAGATAAGTGGAATTAATTGTCACTTTGGACAGAAGTTTACTTATTAGTAATCTGAAATGTTGATTTCGAGAGGCTTTTTTTAGTCATCGATCATAATCGCTTCATAATACGACCCACTACAAACACCCAGACTACCACTTATAAGTAAAAGCAACAATTACGGTTAATGAATTTGAAGTTTTAACCTTGGACTTTTTAGTATTGAATAATGTGGTTTTTATTTAAAGTTCAAATTTATAACTAGCTTTCAGTAACTGTGAGTCCCGACTTTCCGTTTTGAATTTTCCTTGGAGTTCGGGATTTTTGTTATTTTACTTTTTAGTAATAACAACTTAAAAAAAAATTCTCAATGACTTAAAAAACAACTGTTTTTATTGTATTTCCTTATCTTTTGAAGGAAATGTCACTGCAATGGAATCAAGTTCAAGATATGCCTCCATATTACCTGTCAAAATTAACTTCTACGTATGCCGATATTTTCCCAATACAAATTAGGGATTGTTTTTCCGTATGGATAGAAGAAAAACCATGGTTAGTATGTTTTTATACGATCCACATGAACTTATTATTCCTTTGATTAAACTGTCTAATAACTTCTTTTGTTTTTTTGTGTTCATGGATAGCGGTCTCATTATCAATCATACAATGTCTCTTTATTTTAACGTAAGTAATCTTTCAATAATTTCAAAGCGACAGATATTGTGTTAAAATTGTCAAAATTCATTAGAAAAGAACTTGATCTTATTTCGAGATTAATATATGAGAATGAGAAAAATATCTGCCTCAACTACAGTGAAATGATTAATTAGTAGATAATATAATCTGGAACATTTACAAGTTCTTTATTTTCAAACGAGTATTAACGTTTGAGACATAAACAATACAAAAATTATGAGGTGGTCAATTTGAACCCATCTTAAAAGATATAATAAAAAAAATCAATTCATGTACATGTACAGTCCTTTGCTCATTTTTCAAACTAATCAACTACGTTAAATTCGGCAGTGCACGCATTCTTCGTGCGGTGAATATGAATACTTACATTCTTCATTATAACTATTTTTTAAAAATAGCTGACAGAAACGTACCTGCACAAGTACGGTTATTAAAAAACCACCAGAAATATACCAAAATTATATCTTAAATATTTATCCGTTGATCAATTTAGAAATTATATAAATATTAAAGTCTCAGACAATTTGGCTATTTGTTTAGGTCCATTTTGGTCCGAAATCTCTCATATATTCAAGTATTAATACATACTTCGCTGAATAATGTTTTAGTCTGAGCGTTACTTAAGATGGTAATTTAAGAGAAACGATTCGTACGGACTAAATTAATTAAGTGTTGTTTTCTTTATAAAAAAGAAAACATTTGCAGGTTCAGATAATTTAGATTACGTTAAGATAGAAAACAAATCGTTAAAGTTTAACTATTATTTATTCAAAAATAATTTTTATCACCTGAAATAGATATATTTCTAAATTGATTATCATTATTATTGTTATGATAATCATAAATATTGTTATTATTTGTCGATCATTTGATTCGATTCTAAAATACACAGGAATCAAATTGATGAAAACGTTGAATGCCACAGGAATGATTATGCCTTACCTCTGCTGAAAGATCTCCTTCAACTTATTCAAAATAAAGCAAAAGTGATTCCTGAATTCAAAGATTACCTATTTATTATACAGGTAAAGTATTAAAATAGTTTTGTTCGGTTCTATATGCACAAAAAAAACACGTTAACATGATATTGATGAAAAGTAAATAAGCGCTTCCCGAACAGTAATTACAGTGGAGATCACTTCTAACCTCTCATTAGAACTGTCAGAATAATCTGTCATAGAACTGTTCTAAACTGTCCTAGAACAGTTCTACATAGAACAGTTCTACCCTAGAACTGTTCTAAGTAGAACTGTCAAAATCAGTTCTAGCTAGAACTGACCAAATCAGTTCTAGGTAGAACTGACCAAATCAGTTCTAAGTAGAACTGTCAGGATCAGTTCTAGGGAAGAACTATCTAAAACTGTTCTAGGTAGAACTGTCCAAATCAGTTCTAGTCGTAGAATTGTCAGCAGAACTGACTAAATCAGTTCTAACTGCAGAACAGTTCTAAATGACGTCACTGCAGTTAGAGAAATGTTAAAACAGTGCTATGATGAGAATTTTTTAATATATATTATATTCTTTTGACTTATTTATATTTAAGACAAAGACTTCTTAAAACTGTTCTATGGATAGAACTGACTAAATCAATTCTAGCCGTAGAACTGACCAAATCAGTTCTAATTGTAGAACTGTTTTAGTCGTAGCACTGTTCTAGCCGTAGAACTGTTCTAGTCGTAGAACTGACTAAATATTTGGTCAGTTCTAGGTAGAACTGTCTAAAACTGTTCTAGTGTAGAACTGTCAGGATCAGTTCTAGGTTAGAACGGTTTAGCTAGAACCTTTTTAAAAGGTGTCAGGATGACAGTTCTACATACTGTCCTAGAACAGTTCTCCTGACAGATTCTGACAGATTTGATGAGAGGTTAGAAGTGATCTCCACTGTAGTACTATACGTTTTAATTGTTTCTTTTTTATTCGAATACTGCATACCCGGCATGCATTTTTGGATGCTTAAAACGAAAGGTATTGACAAAGGGGGTTAATGTTTTAATTACAGCTGTTTTGAAAAAAAAAATACAACTGGGATATTGAACACTTCCAATACAGTTTCTAGTGTACGAACAGCACCAAATTCATGTGACAAATTTGAGACGTACAAACTGTAACAGACGTAAATAAGAAGGAACAGTTATTTACCGATGTTAAAAACAAGTTAATCTAATTTTATTTTATAATATAAACAAACCAAAATGGAAAAAAATAGGTAATCGCGAGACCGGATTCATAGACAGCATTAACATTTTCTTTTAAGCAAAAACCGTCACGCTAATCCCGAGTCAGGAAAAATGTCACAATAGGGAAGAGGACACAAACGATAAATATATAAACCACAAGACTATTTCGGTATGTGAATATTTAAGAAGTGAGCGGAGATAATATCCCTATTCGTGATGTTGACTGTAAAATTTGTGAAGTGTTGATTTCAGAAATTATTTTCATGACCTGCAGCAGTGGTATTTGCGTTAGGAGCACTTGCCCTTGATAATAAGTCCTTATATTATAATATGCACGTATGTTCATTATCTAGAGGTGTGCTCCTGACAAAAATACTGCATCTGCGGGTTATGCGAAATAAGGACTGAAATCAACAGTTTACAAGTGATAGAGTCATCATCACTCGATTATGAGATTTATCACCGAATTAGTACTTACCAAGATTATCAAAACGGGTGGCACTAATGAAGCGGGGTCTGCCTACTATACCAGAGTACATGAGATGTATGGTGCAGTTCCTCGTGCTCAGTTTTCGTTTTATATGTAGTGCTTTGTGAACTTGTTTGTTTTTTCATCGTCGTTCGTCGTTTTTTTCCAGTTTCTCTTCGACTGATGAGTTGTGAATGTCTTCTTGGTATCTTTTGCATATTTACATAAATATATAAATAGTATATAAATTTTTATATTTCAAGAGCGGTATTATTATTAGTCTGCTCCATGATTAGTTTCAACTACCACATTTAATCTTTTAAAATACTTTCAGAATAAGTACATCAACGAACCGCTGCATTTTGTACGTGATATGAAGTTTTGTCTTAATTATGAAGAACAGTTGCTGGAAAAATCCCGAAGTGTAAGTTTTGTTCAGATACAACATAGTGTTTTTTTCTCTCACTTTTTCATACAGGTGATTCAGGAACCGACGAATTTAGCTCAGAGGATGAAGTGAACTAAAAAATATAACCAAATGTTTCTAATACATGTTAATGTTTCAATCTCATATTAATTAAAAAAAGGAATAAACAAAAAACATGAGAAACTGAAATTGTTTGTGGTGATTTCTATTCAAACACTATTTACAAATTTGGATATAACAACTGAAGCCTCTTCCTAGAATATCCGGAATAAAACACAGTCTTATGTAAGAGTGTTTTTGTATTCGGTTGTATACTATTATATTCTTATTACACACATTGGATTGACAAAACATTTCAGAACCTGACTGAAGGAGAGGTATACCTTCATATATTAATTATTATGCAAAGGTATAAATCAATTTACGAAAAACAACATAAGAATAATTCCCTTTTTTGAAAAACAACAGTCGCTACTAAAACAAATATATAAGTACGAACAAATATTGAACAACAAAAAATAATAAGCTAATATGTTTTTAGATAATAATACAAATGTAACAAGTGTTGTCAGCGGTTAACCGATTGACTGTCAGAAGAACTGAAAATCGAATACCAAAAGGGTTAAGCGGTTAATCGGACCTGTTTTATACGACAGCCAAATTTTTGCGGCCGTATAACGGTATGACGTTGTCGTCATCGTCCGAAGACATTTGGTTTCCAGACAATAACTTGAGTTTAAGTGGATGGATCTCTATGAAGTTGTACCAAAGGTTCCATTACCACCAAAGGACGTACCAGTCACATGCAGAATGTTACGACAAATTTCAGTACACATATTTACATCGTATAATAAAGCCATTCATTCGTAAAGTTCTTCAAACTTTGTCTTTGAACATCAATTTTAATACAGGTTAGCCGGTCGAACGGTTATCTGATTAACCGGGAGATACAAATGTTCAATTTGTCAAAACTAATAATGAGAACATAGCCAGATTTTGATAATGCAGTAGTTAACAAACTTTTGAAAAAGCTTACAGGAAAATTTTTATAATAGTTAATCCAGATTGACTAATCGAAAAGCTTGTGAGATCCAAGACGACAATTCTAGTGATATTGCAAATTTCACCAAATTTATATTAGAGCACACTTTTAAAACCCATTCGAAAATGATCAACCCTTCATGTAACTTCCTGGTAAGGTTCAGTTGTGTCATTTAATTCGTACAATTAGTTTAGTATTATTAAGAACATTACATTGGACTAATTATGGAGGATAATTTGCCCTAAACTTTCTCAAAAAGCTGGAAGAGCTACATGAGAGTAAATGAGTATCCGTATGTGTAACATGATAAAATGTCTTTAATGATATTCTTCTTTTATTAATAAGATAATTCATGATATGTACTTCCTTTAAAATTGTTGACATGACGAGTAATATCCAGCTAAGTCCCGAATCAATTTAGGTGAAGGGTTCGCAATATTAAGTACAATAAGGATATTCTACTATTGATTTCCACTGTTCCTAATCCTTTTGATATGACTGGAAGATTTAAGATCTTTTATCATTATTGTAGAATAAAGCAACAACACCAGGCCATGACGAACTTATTGAAGGAAGCATACTACAAATATCTGAGGAGTTTCATAATTTAAACTCGTGGGATGCGGTAAGTCCATTTTAGGGCACGACCTTTTCATATTCTGGTGGAAGGTTGCATGGTGGCAGACGAAATATTTGTTCCATCTCAGTTGCTAGGTCGTCTTATTTGTTTCCGAATTTACCGGATTTAGTACACAATTATTCCTGTATTTTGTTAGGCAAAATTTTTATTTTAATCATAACTTGAGCAATATATTTCTTACCGGGCCATCACATTCATTTCTAAAATGCCCCTGCCACCCTGCACAAAAAAAATCACATTTTAAAAGATCGTCCCCGTTTCCTTTTATTCAAATAGAATATAACAATTCTTTGTAACAATATGTTTCAAATGTTAATATTGGGTAGAGAAAAAATTATATAAAGGATTTTTGTTTTGCATTGACGATAATCAATATGATGTATATTCTGTTGTTCGTAAGAACTTATATTTAAGTTTATCACAGGGTTACATACCTCCATTTCTTTCGAAGCAGTGAGGATGACCATACTTTAGTGCCCAATTCAAACTTTTGTGGACCGGATAGCCTAAAAGCTAATTATATATTGATTTGCAATATATATTTGAAGTGTGAATATACAGTTTTATTCTTACAGGGAATTGCTGGCGGTCTAAAAGAATTGCAAAAGAAACAAGAAGAATTTGTGATATTATTCAGGGAACTACCAATAGTTACCGGTAAGTAAACAAATATTTTTTTCTATTGTATTGTTCTATAGATTTTATATACCAGTAACAATTTTAACTTCCATATTAAAACTAAGAAAATGTCAAACTTTAAATCGTCCCAAGTCGTAAAAACTGTGATAACTTAAGCAGAAACTGTAAAACATTTGCCATCAATACCAAAGATTCGAATAAGTAAAAACCAAAGTGAACAAATTGACATCATACAAACACTGAAAATCTTCCTGTGATAACATATTCTTGAAATTATTCTTTTTAAGATGCAAACACGAGTAAATGAACGGTCAATTTAATTATAACATCATCTAAAAAGTCTGAAAAATAAATTTTTAGTCATTTTTCAGTCTTTCAGTCAATTTTCACCACTACGGTAAATTCAGTACTATCAACCATTTCGCTTGTAGTTACTTCAGTACTGTTTATTAGTTTTTCAGACATTTCAGTATGATGTTGATTTGTACAGGTAAATAAATATCAATTACTGAGCAGATCTTAATTTACTGCAATCGAATTGTCTGAATAGTACTGAATTTACCACAGTGAATAAGTCTAAAAGTTGACTGAAAGACTGAAAATGACTACACAATTTATTGTTCAGTCTTTTAAGAGTTGTTCAGATCATATTTGGTTCACAAGTTAAATGGTATATTATTTTTCTTTTTCATACAGTTTGGTATTTCATTGCAGGACTTTTTTTTAATCTCACTAATAGAATATTTACAATGACTTTAATACACTATGTGTTAGGTATTTCTGTTACTATTATATTATGTATGGTATTTGGTTTATATATTTAACAGCGCATTTTAAAAAGGCCGAACAAGATATTAAGGAAAGAGTTATTGAAGTGGAAAATCTCAATTCAGAAATTTTAAGCCAAAGTGAAACAGACAAAATTATTGAACTCCATCAGGAAGTTGAAAAAACTAAATCTCGAAAAGAATACATAGTTCAACACTTGAGAGTATGCATACAACACATCTGGGATCTTGTAAATGTAAGCATGAAAATGTATAGATGTAGTGGGATAAACATCTAGCAAACAAATTCGCTTCAACTTGATCTTGAAGTGACATGAGGGTGCTTGCTAGCTGTTTAGGCCTCGCTGTGACTTTAAGAACAAATACAGCAATAAAAGCACTGTCCCTTTGCTTTTGTTATTTTGCATGAGCGTGTAGTGATTTTGTGTCATGGATAAAAGCACCAAATCCTTTCTTTTAAGTATTATCTTGACCCTAATGAAACTTGCAATTACATTGTATGACTGTAGAAATGAATCTTTAACATGTTTAAGTAATTAAATGAATTGACAAAATTTTATTGACTTTTTTTTTATCTTAAACATGTTTAAGATTCCCAAAAAAAATTACAAGAAACTCCTCATAACTGAAATTTTCATTAAATCCAAATTCTTTAATTTCGGGTTATTTAACAGGTTTCAATTTTATGCACTTTTTAGGAGACTGTCTAGAGAACTTTAAATGCATACATCCACTTCATTTGAACTTTGGTGGATAGTTGTTTCATTGGTAATCATACCACATCTCCTTATATTTATATTTACTATAGAAATACGAGTCACACTCATAATGTTTAACAGATTAACATTAGATGTCAAATAATATATAGTAAATGTTACAAGATAAAGATAAACGTTTGACGTATATTTGTGTTCCGTTACAATGGTATCTAGTATTGCTTTAAACATACATGCATCGACCTGCTAACGATCTAAAAACTCTTCTACTGTCCATACTTAAAAAGTTATACAGGATAGTTTTCAATTACTATGTTGAGTAGTACAGTATTTTGTAAACAAATGCTAGTTTTGCTATAATAAAAATATAGATAGGGTAACATTCTATATTGAAACTATTTTTCTTTAAGAGCATTGTACAGACACTGCAAATATCTGTCGAAGAATTAATGCAGGTTCAACAAACCTTTCTTGACATGGATCTTCCTAAATGGAAACACAGACAACAGATTGCATGTAATGGACTTCCATTAGATTCATCCATCTTACAGTCCCTCCAGAAAAAGTAATGTATCTTACATAATATGCCATTGATTAATGTTCCAGTTAATCTATTTTTGTATTTGTGTTATTGTCTTGTTAACAGTTTTTGATCGCTATGAATGTTATCTTCTTGTTAATAGGTTTTTACCTTTATGAATGTTGTCTATTCAACAACTCTTATAATGATTGAATATAAGTGTTGAACAATATTAATATTCATCTTTTTTTTTATAACCAGCTATGATCTTTTTCTGAAACAAAAACATTTAAAATCAAATTGTTATGAAATGCTTTTGTTGACCGTTTTCTTTTTATGTATTCATGCAATGCCCAAGTTGAAAGTGTAATTGGTACAGGACAAGGACATTCAATGAATAAGAGATTAAATATGTCCGATACATTTAGATCCCAAGTGTCTTGTCATTTGTGTCAATAACCAGAGCGTTTGTGAACCCTTTCATATATGTATTGGTTTTGTTTTAGATATGTATCATCTTCAGCCGCCTAGTAAGACCTAACATTGAGTTTTCTTTTATCTTGACAGATGTGAAATGCTACAGACTTTAATTGATAAAAATCTTCACGTCATTCAAAAGCTAGAGGAAATAGTAGAGCTCCTGCCACTAGAAAAACCTGAAAATGTACCTACTACAACAACTGTGAAGCAACAACTAGCACAATTATTGGTCGATTTGGTTTGCAGGTAAGACTTTCGTTTCATTTAATCTGATTGTTTTTAAAAAGACAGAGGTTCTTTGAACACTTGGATGTTTCTTTCAATGAGACAGAATAAAAATGTGTGAGAAAATCCAGTCAGTTCAATATTATAACCTTTTTTCATTTTAATTATCTATAAGTTTCCTTTTCATATGATTTTTTACGACAAACCAATAAATTATGGGGTTTGTTCCAACGTGACAACTAACTTGCATTTTAATGGTTTTTAAATAATTAATGTGGAAAGTTTGGTAGAATATATTGTGCATTGTTAATGTTAAATGGTTGGTAGAATATTGTGTGCATTGCTTAATGGCAACGAAAAGATATGGTGTAAATATTAATTACACAAATCAACACACACACTTTCCAAAACCCAAACCACAGGAACGGCGTTTATTTTGCTGCTTCAACCTAGAGCAAAGGAAGACACTACAATGTACGTTCAATCAAAAGCACCGGTTTTAGAGGAATTCATTGTTAGATTTAGAACACGCTTCATCAGTGCGGTGACAAACACAGCTGCGGAGTTATACTAATAGATTATAATTATATTGGAAAAAGATTTCTCACAAAAAATGCCAGCATACTGTGCCTGAATAATCTCAGCACAAACTATAACTAAAAGAGAGGCAAACGATACCAAAGGGGCATCACACTAAAAAATCGAAAATAAACTGACAACGCCATGGCTAGAAAAGAAAAAGACAAACAAACAATAATACACCAAGCACAACATAGAAAACCAAAGACTGAGCAAATCGAACCCCACCAAAATCTTGGGGCGATCTCAGGTGCTCCGGAAGGATAAGCAGATCCTGCTTGACATGTGGCACCCGTCGTGTTGCTCATGTTAGTACAAACCAGGTGATACGTCTAATTCTGTAGGTCACACTCGGGGGGAAAGGGGACGGGATTGTAGTTACGACAATTTTAACATATATGTTGTCATCTGTGAAACGGATATTCCATAACGTTCGTGATGGCGTCCGTAAAATTTACGAAGGGACGATTTCAACTTCACCACTTTGAACTCTTGGTTTAATAGCTTCCCTGTGAGCAGTATACCTCTATCAAGGAAATCATGATAGGAAATAAAAGACCTGGAATATCGTATCAACTGGGAGATATATACTCCGAATGTAGGCGCTGCTGGATTGTTGTATACCAACAATAGCTATTTAGACTTGTTTGGGTTTTTTCTGTTGACATTGGTGATGTCATTCCTCAGATTTATTGAAGTTCCCCTTGGTTTATTTTGTTTTTAACCCGTTTGATATCGTACACTTTATTTGCTTCCAATGTAGAACATTCATCGTTGAGCACCAGCCACCACAGGTTTTGAGAAAAGATACTAAATTTGAGGCAAGTGTTTCCTTCCTAGCTGGAAAGGCGTTAAATGTACAGTCTCGGTTGCCAAAAGTGCATGCCTACATATTGACGTAAGTAAGACTAATTTTATGCATTTGTTATATTATTTCTCTGGAATTCATACGTTTAAAATATAATATAATAAAATGAACTGAACTCGACATATATTATGTACCTGAATATGCATCTACATGAAAATAACTATAAATTTCGTCGGTTCAAAGCACAGTTCTGCATTTCCTTTCATCAGGAACGTTCAAACCCAGTGATTTGTAAGCCATTGGTGTATAAATACGCAGAAATGGGAAAAGTTTATTGCCAAAATACTTCAAACAATAATTGCCTGATCTAAAAACACCAATGTGTTTCGCCGCTGATGTTGCAATTTTAACATGCAAAAAGGATTACAGACCATAAAATGACAAATCAAACATTTGATATATCCATATTATTATTTTTATTTTACATTTTTGGAGAAAGCTGATATGTGAAACTGATTTGGTAAATCATAACAAAGATGACGAGTGTAGGCACGTGCATGAATTAAAATATAAGTGTAAATTCCAGGGAAAAAATCCTTATAAAGATTATATTTTATTTCTTTGTTTTAGTGAAGCACAAGCCCGGACTGTTCTAGCCAAGAAGTTTGATAAGTCAACAATGAAAACCCTTTTGAACAATGAATCAACCGTTGAGATTCTTCCATCAGGAAGAGTTCATGCTAAGTTTAAAAACCTGGTACGTTCTTCATATTTCTATAATAAAATTTCCTATTGAAATTTTGATTTTGTAGTTAGAATCTGTTTTAAGAGACAAAATTTGTACATCAATTTCAACTGTAAAATAAATCTGGCAGAGCGTCAACAATAAGAGACCTTTTGAACAATGAATCAACCGTTGAGATTCTTCCATCAGGAAGAGTTCATGCTAAGTTTAAAAACCTGGTACGTTCTTCATATCTCTATAATAAAATTTCCTATTGAAATTTTGAATTTGTAGTTTGAATCTGTTTTAAGTGATAAAACTTGTACATCAATTTCAACTGTAAAATAAATCTCGTGGAAAGTCAACAATAAGAGACCTTTTGAACAATGAATCAACCGTTGAGATTCTTCCATCAGGAAAAGTTCATTCTAAGTCTTAAAACCTATTTTATCTGTAAAATAAATCTGGTAGAAAAAAAACTGTAAATCAGGGATATAGATAACGTTGTACAAGTGGGTTGTTGCATTGGCTTTTGAAGATTTGTGTTTCTCTGCACGAATATTGTTTTGTTTTTATAAAAATAAGAAGATTCAAAAGGATTTAAAGACCTTTCTTAGTCGGCTGTCTTTTTGGTAATGATCAACAGCTTCAATGCACTTATTACCACACTATTAAAGTAGAACCAAGTGTTGTAAGATCCTTTTACGCAAAGCGTGGACATGGGATCTATATTTTAATCAGATTGCGACATGATTGCCAAAGAGAGAATTATACACCAGATACCAAACGATTGAGATGTAAGCAACTATATATGCAATATACGGCCTGCCTCGAATTATGGGCAAAACTCATACCGTGTAGTCGGCTACATGAAAAAATGTAAACCAATTCAAAAGAGAATTGTCAGTTTTTTGAGCTGATGGTGTTGGTTTTAAGGAGTTTTTTACTTATATATTTTGGGGTTGTTATTGTATTCGTCAGATTTGTAGTAGGTTCATTCTTTTATATTGTAGGTTTTGAAGGACTTCAAACGAGAATCAAGAAAGGGTGGTCAGGTATGTTTTGTCTTTATATAATCGCTTACAAATCAACCATCTTCCGAGTTTACGTTTATTTAATGTAATGTAATTTTATTTTAACAAATTTGTTCTGATAACAACACAACAATTGTTTATCAAAAAAAAATATTTTAACAATCATTGAAATATAATTTAAATAAAGTTAACAGTTAAATTCTTTTAAACTAATCCCTCATCTTGCTCCTTTCGGTATGTTTTTAAAGTTCGAGAACTACTCCGAATATGTTTGATCTTAGGCACTGACAAATGTAATTTAGAACTGAATGCTTCTTTTTAAATTTTATTGGGGTGTTAAATCCGCACTTTGTACAAAATATGATTCGGTCAACGATTTTGCAACCCTATGAAATTATAAAAGAAACATTTAATTCTAATAATTATATTTTATGCAAAACAATTAAATTACAAATTCTTTCTTATGTTTTTTTTCGTTTTCCTTCGAGTTGTTTTGACGTTGTCACCAAAAACTTATGCTGTCATGTATGATGCATAATATTGGGAAATAAGATCTAATTTTGGAGTGCCTCTCGATTATTGTCAGCAAATCAAAAGTACGGATTTTTATGAAAATACATGTAATGTATTTATACGATATTGTGTTGTTAAATTTATGTTCATATAACTTTATATTTTATATTGATGCCATAAAATTGAATTACGAAATCTGAAATTTTGTATCGTTTTTTTTTCTGAATCAGTATTGTCCATTTATTTACTGAAAGGTAGAAAATCAAGTTTTCAAAATGCAAGTGCATATAGTAAACCAATTTCTTGCTGCATATAATATAATATATCTTACGTTGTTAATTGTCAACAAAATTTACCAAACAATTAGGAAAAATATATCAGACATAACTTTTAATTACTCGTTTTTCTCTTTAGAACAATCAATTCCCTTTATAAATAATCTATTTTAGAGAATAGCTGAAGAAAAATATTGCCTACTCTTTGATTCAAAAATAAAAATAGGAGAATATGACTTACAGACACCTCTTCGGGTAAGTACATGTCAGTAAAAGATTTGGGCATGTTGAAACAAAACCTAGGTAACATTCTTTTAATTGAAGACAAAACATTAAAAATGTGATGCGTCCGAAGCTCTGTTCTAAATTTTATTTAAGGATGTTCGCTACTCTGTTTTAAATTAACAAGCTTTTAAAAAGACTGTTATAAATTGATAGTATATAAATGATTGAACTTAAAAAGCAGAATAAATTGATAGGTCAGTGTCCTTGTTTTTGAGATATAAGCAATTGAAAATTTGGCGGGAAATAATTCTCTCTATAGTTTTCGTACATTTAACATTAGCACCTTTTTTCTTTCAAAAACTATGAAAAAATAACAAGGATTTAATAAAATTTTCAAAAATGGCTTTTTAAACTATATGTTTAAAAATTATGAAAAGAAAAGTAAGGGTTAGTGGGCTAAATTTTTAATGGCACTACATGGATGAAACTAGAGGATTCCGAATATCTGACAAAAAGTCAAAAATAAGAGTAGCAAACATCCTTAACCAGAAACACTAAAACCCAAACATTTTGAAAGACAAGGATGTATAAGTACTCGAATATGTGAGGAGCTACATGACCAAAAGGAATATTTGGTGGTTGTTATTGGTCCATGTCTGTCATATTTGTTTTTCGTAAATTGTTTAAAATTAGGTTTTTAGTTTTCTCGATTGAATTGTTTTACATTTTTCATGTCGGCGCCTTTTATAGCCGACTATAAGGTATTGAAATAGAAACATGTTTTGCATGACAAAGTATAGACGAGACTGTTACCAGTATAAATAAAACAGATATTGAAAATTAAAAACCACAAAGAACAACACTTAGAACTAAAGCAAAAGCAACACGCCCTTTTAAACAAACCTCTTGGTGATCTCCAAAAGGTTACACAGATCCTGCTCTACACGTGCCTCTTTTTTTAGACGTGTTTTACTCCTTATACAAATAAGGAGTTGTGGTATGATTGCCAATACGACAACTATCCACTCAAGTTCAAATGAAGTGGATGCAGGCCATTATAGGCAACCGTACGGCATTGTATTTTTTGATATTCTTGAGTGAATTCGAATAGTTATTGTCGGCATAACTATGGCACCATGTTCTTTTTAGTCCCCTACCGACGAAGTCGAAGGGGACTTTAGGTTTGCACTCCGTCCGTCTGTCTGTCTGTCCGTCTGTCTGTCCTTCTGTCAGTCCGGCAAATCAGCTTTCCACACTTTTTTTCTTCATGCTTGAAGATATTGATTTGATATTTTGTATATTGCTTTATCATGACAAGTTACAGATCAAGTTCGAATTTTGTTCCGGTCTGATAATTTAGTCCAGAGTTATGGACCATAACTCTTGACCATATCTAATGTTAGAGTACTATGTTAAACCCTTATTTCTGTACAAAGGGAGATAACTCATTTTTTAAACGACTTTCATTGTTAAATTATTTGAAGAATTTTTTAGCAGGTTTGTTTGTTATTTAGTATAAACTAATTTTCTGAATGCTATATATATATAAAGAAAATTTATGAAGAGAAATCCTTTAATTAGATAATAATCTATTTTTATTAATTCATATATTTCAATACATTACATTGTGTAGATAAATGTTGTTGACATTTTATAGATAAGTTACAAATCTATATTAGTTTGTGACAAATGAAAGAAAAAATATTTGGAACTATTAATTATATTTGATTATAATTTGAAAATAGATATACACTGTATTACATCATATCTAATTTTAGAGTACTATTAAACATATCTAATGTTTTTTTCATCCATATAATCAGTTTTCCACACTGTTTTTATTCTTGCTTGAAGATATTGACATGATATTTACTTTTTGTTTACACCGTGACAATTTATAGAACAAGTTAGCATTTTGTTCCAGTAAAACAAATTTTTACCCGGTAGGGTACTATGTATTGCCATGCAATACTCTCAGAATGCTTGTTAGTGAAGAACGGCAATTGATTGAATGTTTAATAAAGGTTATTGTTAAACTGCTCATTTTAGTTTTGATATTTCAAGTGTTTTATTTAAAGTGGAGTCCTTGAAATATTTGATCTTACTTTAAGGCATTGTCAGTTCCTGTGATAATTACTAGTCATGTTAATCAGGAATGTCAGGCTCTAGCAACAATTTCATGGGATCATCAATTCTCTAGTCAGGTAAGTGTGATCTACAAGATAGTAAAGCGTGCAAATCAAGACTAATAAATAAACACACGACATATGGAAAATTATAACCTTCCGGTAAAATATAAATCAGGTGCTTGAAAGAGTGTGTTTGGTCTAATTAAAACACACAGAGAAATACCAAAGACTATATGAAATGACACACAGGAACATGTAACACTACAAATGAATCCCTACGGAAAAAACGACATATAATCAACAGAAACTAAACGACCCTAAGTTAATTTTGCAAAGGAAAGCCGGAGCTAGCAAACACATTGATCTGTTCAATATTGACTTTAGTGAAGTATTTTTATCGGAAAAGGTATTTTATATAAGATTATAATTTTAATGTTACTTTTCCATTATCTGAAAAAAGTAATATCTTCAAATATTTTACAGTCAAGACCTTTATTTGAAGTGCCTTCATCAGTGCCATGGCAAGAGTTAGCGAACCTTCTGAATGCAAAATTTGAACACGAAGCAGGACGAGGACTAACTGAAGATCATCTTAATTATTTAGCTTCAAAACTCTTCGGTAAGAATCTGAATTTGTATGATTTCTTTCAAAGGTGATATATTAATTATACAAATATCATTTTTAAGAGAACAGTGTTGACTTCATAGTATACCTCTTTTTGAATACTTTTTGGTTAATCAATTTAACATTCTCTGTATGGGCTGTCAAAATTGTCAGTGATATCATATAGACTCAACACTGTTGTAAATGAAACAAACGCGGCAGTTTTGCTTTAATTTCTCTCAGCTGCTGTACGTAATATTAATGTTTAGTTGAAAACACCTGTTTTTATGTTGCCTCTACATGATTTATCACTATCTATCGTAAGCACTGCGGCATGAACATTTGCTTTGACATACCAATAACAGTCATGTCTCTGTCAAAAGTGGTACTTTAAACACTAAACGTTTAGGTAAACTAGTTTATTGAATGGCTCCTGGTATTATTTGAACTATTGAGGCAAAATTAGGTCTGTGTTAAATATAAGGTTTGTTCGCTACATGCTTATCTAAATCATAGGTAATATTTTCCAAAAATACCTACATCTTAACAGTATAGTAACTGTATACTATCAACTTTCGACTATAAGAAAAATTATGGATTGTTAAACTGAATGAATTGAAAACACAAATACGGTTTAACTGAAAATTAATGTTATAAAATTTTAGAAATCATTTTGAATTAGGGAATATATCTCCCTGGTGCAAAGCTCCAATTCTTTGTTCAGAGTTGCTCCTGGAGAGCCTTAAACATTTCTAAGTAACATTTAACCGCAATGTATAACTTTCAAAATATTTCAGTAGTAAACAAATTTTAGTCTGAAACGGTTATTTTGTATTGAACAGCTTTTAGTCATTTTTATACGACCGCAAATATTTTGCGGCCGTATACTGGTATGCGGATGTCGTCGTCGTCGTTGTCTTCCGAAAGCATTTCGTTTCCAGACAATAACTTTTGTATAAGTGAATGGATCTCTATGACATTGTACCACAAGAATCCATATCACAAAAGGAAGGTTGGGATTGATTTTTGGGGTTACTGTCCTAACTGTTTAGGAAAAAGGGATAAATCAGGCTTCTTTTTTTGGTTTCAGGACATGTGTATAAGTGTATAGAATTCTTTGAAATGGTACAGCAAGGTTCTATACGTCTATAGGACGGTTGAGATTGACTTTGGGGACTATGGCCCAAATCGTTTACGAATTTGTGTTCAAAAGGGTCCAAAAACAAGGATTTTCTGGTTTCCGGACAATACCTATGGATCTCTACGAAATTGTACCACCAGGTTCCAAACTAAAAAAAGGAAGGTTGGGGTTGATTTTGGGGGTTATGGCAGTAATCGTTTATGAATCTGGTTCCAAAAAGGGGGCTCAAACAATATTTTCCTAATACTTTGTATAAATTGCTTATTTCTTGACCAATTTCAATGGGTTTTAATTCCTAGTCTTGAAGTCTTGGGGTTCTTTGATATGCTGAATCTAACCGTGAATTTAGATTTTGGATTTTGGACCCCATTTTAAATTGGTCCACATTGAGTTCCAATTGGTCCAAATTAAACTTTGTTTGATTTCATCAACAAAAAATGAATTCTAGGGGTTCTTTGATACGCTGAATTCAACCTTGCATTTAGATTTTTACTTTTGAGCTCGGTTTTCAAATAGATCAACATAAAGGTCCAAAGGGTCAAAAATAATTAAACTTAGTTTGATTTTAACAAAAATTGAATTGTTGGGGTTCTTTGGTATGCTGAATCTTAACATGTATTTAGAGTTTTGATTTAGAGCCCAGTTTTCAAGTCGATCTAAATCGGGGTCAACAATTAAACTTTGCTTGATTTCAACAACAAAAAAGAATATATGGGGTTCTTTGATATGCTGAATCTAGCCGTGTATTTAGATGTTGGGCCCGTTGTAAAATTAGTCAAAATTGATGTCCAAAGGGTCCAAATTTAAATTTTTCTTGTTTAATTTCTTTAAAAATCGAATTCTCGGGGTTCTTTGATATGCTGAATCTAACCATTTATTTAGATTTTGGATATTGGACCATAATAGGTAAATGTCCAATTTCATTTTTTTTAGTTCTTAGACCACATTCATTCTGTGTCAGAAACCTATGCTGTGTCAAATATTTAATCAGAATCCAAATTCAGAGCTGTATCAACTTGAATGTTGTGTCCTTTCTTGCCCAAACTGGCTGCATTTTATTAATTTTGTAGTAAATTTTCAGACGTATCCACTGCGGTTAATCCAGTACTATTCAGACCATTCACTTGCGATCTATGTTCAGACTGTTCAATAGCAGTTATTTACCTGTACAGATTATTAACATACCGAGTTGTCTGAAAAGCTACTGAACAGTACTGAATTTACTGTAGTTGATAAATCTTAAAACTGACTGAAAGACTGAACATGACTTCGATAATTTTTTGTTCAGACTTTTCAGATGATGTTAAGATCAGAATTACCGTTTGAGACTAAAATTCGTTTACAATTATTTGCTCCTGAATAGGATAAGATCTGTATCTTGATGTAAGCTTGTGACGTTCATGTTTTTCAAGGTTAATTTAATCTTGATGTTGATTATATATTACAGAACAATCATGTGATTATTCAAGTTGCCATGTGACATTTGATATGTTTTGTAAGGTTTGTATACCTAGAATATGTTCAGAATTTCTCTCCAAAATAGTTTCAATAGCGAATATGTCAACGAATGCGAATTGTCTTTAATCAATTTCCATTGAAGTCAGAAGATTCTTTCTATGGCTGAATGCCTGTATTGTTTCTCGATATGATTCATTTGTAGAATGTTTTGGTTGCACTGGTGACTTTTTCATCGACCTGTCGTTTCTTATGGCATTTAAGGGCCTACTTGTTGCTGGTGGCACCTGTTCATATTCGTTGATAATACGCGCATGTAATTTATTCTTGAGAAACATGATTTGTAGTCTCATGATTCCTTGATTGTAGGAAGTGTGTCCGGTATTTTGCTAATTCAATGAATTATTACTACTTTTTTTTAGTAAGCTACATGCAAAAAGCAATCACGCGTTGCAGTGAGTTATAAGTCCAAGCGTAGGTTAAGTAAACCGTAGGGTTTTTGTCGATATCAAATAACATGTTAATCAATTTTAACCCGTTTTAATGTAATGCCGACTTTCTGTGAGTACATTGTACCATTATGGAATCATTACAGTTAACAGAACTAACGATCGGAGACTCGTTATTTTAATTATGCTTGCTTTGTTTTAAGTTGTAATCATATATGTTTGTAATATATTATTCATCGCACACAAAAATCTTAATTGCAACAAAACTTAAATAAAAAATGGCATATACAATAAAATAACTAACTTAAAAGCTTCATAAAAATCGATCCAAAAATAAAGTAAATAGCACTAAAATGGTAACAAAAACAAATCCTTGGCAATTGTAAACAGAAAAGAAGTCACTAAGGTAGCAACAAAAATTATAAGTCTGGTAAAAACAGATAACACGAAGGTCAAAACGACAAATGTCGAAAAGAATAATATTAATAAAAACAAAACAAACAGATAACTAATGACTGAGCAACACAAACCATACTAAGAAAGTGTATAACTCGTGTGATTAAGCTTGAGTTTTCCTTCTTAGTTTCATAGTTTGCATTGATGATCACATGAATAAGATTTCTTTATGTTTCAATCAAGGTCCCATCTATAACAATAAATGCCAACGACTATTTTGTAATAACGTTTAGTGTCTCAAACTAAATTAGGGTATTCATTCTAAACGTGATCCCAATCATCATGAATTGAAGCAATTAAATTATGTCTGAAGCAAATTAATCACATAATCTATATTTTGATAAATTAACATAGCTATAGTTTTACTGAGAAACAAAATTAATCCAAACATGTAAAACACCCACTGCCACTCTTCTACCAATGCCTGTTTTTGAAACTTATATTTTTTTGTGTAAACATGTCGAGAATTACAGATTTTTTTTTGTCTCAATATACAATCTACATGTACACGAGCACTTGTAGTGTTCAATTATAGAGTCAAGGACCTTCTCACATTACTACCTTTTGTTTGATTTGCATACCAAATTTGCGCTTGTTGTATGTATAAGCTCAAGGCCTGGTATTGGACGTCACAAATTGCGCAAATTTTATAGCTATGATACTAGGGAGTGGAGTCTTTTTAACCCAAATCTCAGTTAGTAATTACAATCTTGTTAATAACTTCTTTTTATAAACAACTGTTTAACAAAAGACAGCAAAATTAACTTGCAATAAATCAATTATAAGATTACTTGGATTGTGAATATGTGCTAATTTAGAAAAGAATATGCTATGAAATAAACCTGCACTGAGCAAAATCCCTCACACTCAATTTCATTTGTATGTCCCTTCTCCGTGACTAACGAATATAAGTTACCTAGTGCATCGTTTAGCTGATTAAGGGTTTATTTGAGCACACTGTCTAATAAATAAAAGAGCACTCATTTTTGAAAAAAGACGTCACGGCAATAGTTTAGATAAAAAAAATTTAAACAAAATTACCCAACTCCACGGTAAATTCAAAAAGGGGAAGTCCATATAACCTGACAAAATCAAACACTCGGCTATATCAACCAACGAAACGAATGGAAAACAACTGTCATAATCCTAATTAATACAAGCATTCTTCGATGAAAATTGTGAGATAAACCTGGATTTATGACAAGCTAAACCTCCAACTTTTATGACAGTTGTTTATAGTTCCGATATTTTGACCAAATTGCGTGAGCAACCCAAACATACAAGTTGATTCGTGACCATTAACACTTATCCATTGTATCGTCAGTATATATTGCATGTAAAATATAAAATAATTTCAAATAATTTAACATGTTTATCTCAGTCTCAAATGATTAATCTTTTTTCAGAAAACACTAATTGATACACATCTTCTCATTTATTTTTCTATTTAAGGATAACATGAGGGATGATGATTTCACTTTCTGGGACCTGTTTTATAATGCCATGCGTCTAACAAAAGATCATTTATATGTCGCTTGGAAAAAAGGGTAAGTATGTTCTTTTGACCTTTTTTATATGGCTATACTGACAAAAGAACAGCGTTCCAATGTACCTCACCAAGTCACATTTGTTTTGTCCAATGGCAAAAACTACAATATATATTTTGTTTGTTTTTGGATTTTTCTTAAATAGTCTACAAGTTATTTAGACGTCAGATCGCTTACAATGCATTTTTAATAATTCTAATTATGTCCAAAGGACATACATCCTGTAAAAAAGTGGATTAGTGCTGATTATCAAACTGGTCTAAGACCTCGCTCAAAATAACATTTGATGTACACGTCATAAATATCTTACTAGAAATGAAGGTCTGAGAGTGCTTACAATGTAATTTTTAATATAAAAAAGCAGCAAAATTCCTCTTTAAATAATTTATCTCGACTGATTTGCGAACTCGTCTGAGACATTAATATTACTGATATAAATCTTAATTTTATAAGAATATTATAAAAATCTAGCAAGAAATAAAGTCCTGGGAGAACATCTGTTAATATTTGGAGCGGTAACAATGAACTTTTCCATATGATTCCAATTGCAAACGGACATAACTCATGTACAAAGTATTTGATCAACACCGATTTCTAAAGTCGTCTGAACAAGAGAGGCAAAAGATACCACAGGGACATTCAAACTCATAAGTCGGTAATAAACTGACAACGCCATAAAAAAAGAGAAAAAAAACCAAAACACAAACAACAGTACACAAAACACAACATAGAAAACGAAATACTAAAGAAAACGAAACATTGCTAACATAAACCTTTGGTATAAATTTCACAAAAGTCAGTCAATGAAGGCTTGCGACCTTAGTTCGTATGGGGCATAACTGCTTCAAAATTAATTGATCTGTACTTAGTTTTTGAACTAAGGCAATAATTTTACGCGTGACCTGGCTAACAATGTACTTTCCTTTAGATTTTATATGCTAAAGGGGCATGATTCCTTTAAAATAAATTGATAGTTACTGATTTTCAAACTTGTACAAGGCATTCCTGATTTAAACCTTTGACTTAAATTTCATAAATAATCTGGCAAGCATTGAACACGCGAGAGTGCTAAGATGACCGAACGGAAGGATACACGGACGGACGCCCGTTATTTCTGATGTTCCCCACATAGCTTAGGTTAAATTGAGGAGCTATTAGACCCAAATTTATATATGTTTATAAAGCTATATGTTAAACATTTTAAATACGTATTTTCTATTATTTTTAGAAACATTGATGGTTTTATCAGTAAAGCCAAGGCAGAGATGTTTTTGAATGATTCTTCTCCTGGAAATTTCATCTGCCGTTTTAGTGCCTCACAGTTGGGAGGAGTTTCAATTTCTGACCGCCGCGGCGGTAAGTAGATGCATTTGTTAATTTGGCTTAATTAAAATTGAATTAAAATAGAGGCAAAAGGCACCAAAAGGGGTATTCAAACTTATAATTTGAAAACAAAACAACGAAAACGACCAAGACAAAAAAAAACAGTGTAAAAAGCATAACATAGAAAAATAAAGACTGAGCAACAGAAACCCAATCAAAACCCAGGGGAAACTCATGTGCTCCAGAAGGGTAAGCATATACTGCTTCACATGTGACACCATTTGTGTTGCTCATAAAAGTACAAATCCTGTGAATAGAGTAAAATATTCGAGGATATGAGGACGGGATTGTGGTTACGACAATTGGAACATTTCCGTCGTCATCTGTGAAACAGATATTCCAGAACGGTCAACCAACTCGTGCTGGCGTCCGTTAGATTTTTTCAAAGGGATGATTTCAACTTCACCACTTGGAGATCTTTGTTTAATAGTTTTCTTGTGAGCAGCACATTTCTATCAAGGAAATCACGATTGGTAATATCTGGACCAATTAGGATAAATATACTCCATACAAAGGCCTGCTTGTAATTAAATAGAAGCATTTATGAAAACTGATGATTATTCCCAATAAGAACTACAGCCTTTAAATTCATTTCTTAAAAAATGTTCATTCCAAAATGTGAACTTATCATTTTTTCATTAAGATATTCAACAGAGTATAGGCAAAACTACCTCAATTTCCTATATTCAGGGTGTTTGAAAATCCATAATTCATAAGTGTATACTTGTTAAACAAAATGACATTACAATTACTTATTAAACAAATCACTTCACAAAAAACACTTCCATATCATGCCAGTCTTGATTTACGATTTTTCTGTTACAGATGGTGTTCATCACACTTCTCCGTTTACATGTAAAGATCTACAGATTCGTTCTTTATCGCTTCTCATCATGGACACACCAAAATGGACACATTTATTCCCAAATAAACCGAAGGAACAGGAACACATTTTTGGGGGAAATACTGATGGTAAGAAAATTCTGATGGTAACAAAATCTACAATCTGAATTATGGCAACCTATTCATAGTGACAGAGTCATATATAATGGTAATTTTAATTTGTTGTTCATTTTGTAAGTAATTAAAATTGCGTGTTTAAAGGTTAAACGTTTTGAAAATGAAACACTTATTTCATATTCCATATTATATCTCTTTCATTTTTCAGATTCTCAGAAGACAGACGGAAAGTCCGAGTACGAAAAATTTATTTGGACTATTAAAATGAGGTAATCAGCGTTTTGTTTTTCAATCAACTAAGAAAAATATCCCATTTTGTTTTTAATGTCTTGTTCCATATTTTTTGAAAAGGGGAATAGAATTTTCTGATCAATTCAAAAGGTCCACCTAATCATTAAACATGAATCATTTAGCTGAAGATTAAAAGATAAATTTGAAACACAATAAGTATATAATGTGTTTATGATTAGTTTTGATGAAGAATATTTCAGAAACTCGTGCCGTGTACATGTTTGTATCTTACTGCTACTGGGTTTTTTTTTGTTGGTCTGATTTTTATTGATTTCTTTTGCTCCTTTTGGTTTTTTCTGTACGTGATGAAGTTATACCAGAAACTATTGTCGTCATACTGACATCATTTTTATACATTGAAAATGTTATGAAAAAAAAACAATTATGATTCTTTTTTTCACAGTATTATATTTCTTTTCATTTTTTTGTAGTTCATCGGAAGATGAACAAGAAGATAAAACTGATCAGGAATGTGAAGCTGCATTAATGGAACTCATAGCTGACACCGATTTAGATAGATTTATATCGGACAATTATGAGGATGAGATGATACATTAGTCTATAATTATTGTTATATTAAAACATACAATGCTAATTAAAAGTTTTAAATTCTTCACTTTTTACTCCAATTACAGGACCTCTAATTACGAAATACATTTATAAAAATGGGCAACAAAAAGATACACCATAAATGCGGTACCAATGCATGATATGCTGCTGTGTTACGGTCACATATGTGTGGTGTACTCAGATGAATTGACAGTTCTATAATGTCGAAAATCATAAGGCGTAAGGTCAATGATGATATGTATTCAGCTATCCAACAAATACTTAAAATTCGTCCATGATCAAGGTTGTTGTGGTTATTGTCGTTATATCTTTCTTATAAAGGGTTGTTGTAACGCTCTTCAAGTCTGCTGTGTCTTATGTGATGACCACTGTTTTAGAATTCATTGGCGACGAGCGTATGTAAAATATATTTTTGCAAACTATAACTCATCTTGAGCACGTACATTTGTTGTATAATCATTTTGGTTATAGAAGGTGGTGGTATTCTCTGTCGTCTAAAACGCATAGGAAGGCTTACTCAATTGCAATTTACAAATTGGCGCACATTTCATCTTTTGGTTTAAAATTGACAGTTGTTACTCATTTTCCTGTCTATTACCAGGTAAAATTTCGAAAATTATTTCAAATTAAGAAATATATTTCCCTCATGCGAAGCTCTGATTCCATGCCCGACTTTGGCCACACTTGTTTGTCCTTTTTGGTTTATAAGCTCTTGTTTTTTGTATGTTTTCAAATAAGCTTTAGATTTTGAAATATTTTGGCCTCGAGCTTCACTAAAGAGACATTTATCTGGTGCAGAAAAATTGGTACCGTTAATGTTATTGTAATGATGACATAGTTGTATAATCTGATAATGTTTGGATTAATTAGAGACGACGTATATAGCCCAACAATGTTAGATCTGCAAATATGCCTTAGCAAATATTTGTTATTCTCTCAACTGGATTTGAAACCCTGCTTCTGTGACATTGTGACTACACTTTGTCCAGCGCCCTTGACCACTAGACCGAACTAGGCTTTATAAAACATCGCTATTGTTATTCAAGTAATGCCTTTATCGTCGGCTCTATCTAGGGTCGTAACTCAGAACATTATGTATAGTGGCAAGTAGATGGTGAACCTAGCAGATCAGCTGTATGTGTCTGTCGTAAAGGATAATAGTTTGTATTTAGACGTATAAAATGAAATAAAAATTTGATGTGACGGCATGGTAAGTAAAATTATCCTCCTTGACGACAGACAAAAACAGCTGATCGACAACAGGAGTATTGTTTTCAGATTTTATTGCTAAGGACTTTACATAGTCAAATTCTAACTATTGTCCAGAAAATAACTTCGGATGTATTGATTGATTTGTCACAGAATATCTATGAATATTTATTGTTAAAACGTACAAAAACGTATGCTTAAACAAATGTCTTCTTCGAATATTTGAGAAAAAAAATTTAAACATACTGAATTACTCGCATAAATTATTCATCAGTGGTAATGATTTGAAATATTCCTCTCCGGGTAAAAAAAAAATTTTCTGCTTCTGCTTCAGCTCGGGCTACTTGAAACTCTTCCGCTGAATCTGACAGGTCATTCATCACCGTTTCCCGGATGTCAGCAGTTTTTGTAGTGGAAGCTGTTATCGCCGCATTGTCGAGTCGTTTTTTTGGGGGGTTAATTTCTCTTCCATATCTTTTATTTTCTTGCATTCGTCTCTAAAAATGAAAATAAATAAATATTTTGTTTCATTTTGTCTTATACATGTAAAACGAGGCGAGCGTGGGTGCTTCATTTCTTAAATGTACTTTCTCCGCCTAAATTCCCCACTTGCACCACCGTTTCCCTACCTACTTTTTGTTCCTTTCCCATTCAGTTATGAAATCGTTTTTCGTACCCATTATTGTACTTCACTGCCACCTCTTGCAAATCCATGTTACAATACTTGAACACCATGTTAAGTTGTATTATTTCCCCCTTTTTATGGCTCTGTGTCCATGCTTCGGTAGCGAACTGAGCGTGCACATAGGATCTTTATATCAATTGTATTGATTTTTTTTTTATAAAAAACAAATTTTGATTTCAGATGTAAATACATGTAAAAAAACTACATTCAAACAATCATTCATGTTTTCGCCTAAAATATTGCATTTTATTATTTTCGATAGCTGTAAAAACATGGTAAACAGAGGTTTTTTTCGCATGTTTTTGCTTATGGTAATTGTATATGCTTCTTGTTTTCATTTTTTTTTTGGGGGGGACTACCTAATTAAATCTTAAATTCTTACCGGATTGATTCATTGGCAATGTTTTCTTGTGGAGTGGCCATGAGTTTTGCAAATTTCGTAGAAATTCTTTTTTTTAACTTCTTGAGGTTGACTGCTCATATAGACGCTTTGCGTCGTCGGGAAGTGAATCCATCTTTGTCTTTATATGATCTATGATTTTGTCCCACGAACAGGGGTGAAGTTGGTAGGCTTTTAACAGAAGAACAACTTCTTGGTCCGACAAAAAAAAAACCCTTTTTTCTTCCTCATAAGAATGGTTGGTTCTGAAACAAAATAATTTCTTTATATCTTTTTACTTTATTTATATATCATTTCATTTAAAGTACGGATTCGAGAAAATGCCGTTCTTTTTCGTGCCAATGTTTTGCCCTTTAGTACGGAGCCCTTTCAGTGCCTTGTAAATATAAATATTTTCCTTTGCTGGAGATTTAATCTGGTACGCACGACTTTGAAACTCGTGAGCTTGACATTTTAAAACTGGTAATCAAGACTTTAAAAAACTGGCCTTGAAGTCATTAAACTTCCGAGTAGGTTTTGGTACTTAGACTCCAAAATCAACCAATCAAAATGCTGGATTTAATGTTTCGAGCATGATTTTTGTGCTCAGAGCACTGAGCCAAGTTTTATGACTTTAAGCCCTGGTGCGCACGATTTTCAAAATGGTGTGCACAACTTTCAAACTAGTTTGAAACTTGTGCGCACGTGTTTAAAAGTCATGCTCATCAGTTTTTGAAAGCCGTGCGCACAAGTTTTTAAAGTCGTGTGCACCAGTTTTAAAATGTAGTGCGCACTAGTTTAAAAGTCATGCGCACGAGTTTAAAAGTCATGCGCTAGAGTTTGAATCTTATGCGCTGGAGTTTTAAAAGGTCATGTGCACGAGTGAAAAAGTCGTGCGCACGGGTTTCAAAATCGTGCGCATCAGATTGAATCTCCGGCAAACGAATATATTTATATTTACATTGCACTTATGGGGCTCCGTACTTTCGTGACCTTATATGCAGATATACTTGATGATACTAGAACACAGTGCAAAGATATCCACAAAGCCAGAATAGTATGTTATGGTAAATTTATCTTTGATATAAAATGCATTCTGTCATCTCAATCTTTTACAATTTTAGAATATCAATTATTTCTAACAATGCTTAGATAAAATAATTGTGGCAAAGATATATAATATGTTTCCTTTATAACAATAGATAACAATGCATCCTGTTAGAAAACAAATGTTTCTTGAGATTTTTCCAGTTTTAAATCTTCACCCTCCTGATTCAACGGAGTTTCTACAACAATAGAATCAGATCATTCTTTCAATTATTCGACCTCCCCCGGACCCTTTAATGGATCTTCGTCGTAGAATTAGGGGTGATGCAATAGAAGAATGGAGTGGAAATTTTCTGAGCACAGATATTCTTTTTATCTTGCGGCCGGTGAAACCCCTGAAACAATGCTAGATGTTCTGCAGCTTGTCAAGGACTCATTTTCACAAGATACTGGGAGGCCCCACAAATTATCTCAGAAGAATCGGGTCATGTTGTATATTATGTGGCTTCGGTCGTATCCATCATACAATGTTCTCTCGTTGATTTTTAATGTAAGTGTTGCCATAATTCAAGCGGAAATTAATGCATGCATGCCAATATTTCAAAGAGCATTGGGGTCGTTCGTGGCCTGCTGTGAACGAATGGAGAGGAAAACGGGGTATTTGGCCTAAACTCCATGCTGCCGTCGGTGCAATCGACGGCTTTTCTGTGGAGATATATAGGCCACAAATTGAGCCGCAAGAACTGTATTTTTCCGGTCATTGTCACTACCACGCCACACATACGCAAGTGATAGTCGACAACGAGGGAAACATTTGCTATGTCGAAAGCGGATTTTTAGGCCACCAAAATGATGCGCAGTAGTATAGGATGATGAGACAGATTGGAGCCGATGCACCGCTAAATTTTCCAGAAGAATGTGTGCTATTAGGAGATAAAATTTATCCAAATCGGCATCCCGTAATTACGCCGTTTACGCGACTGCAAATCAACAGAAAACCTGATCACCAGAAACGCAAGATTCGAAAATTTAATAGAATCATTGCAAAATATAGAATTCTTGTCGAACATGTCATGGGTGACCCTAAAAAATTATAAAGTGATGGGTACTTTGTGGAGGCACACAAGACAAAAACTCGGACAAATTGTGGAGACTTGTGCAGGATTTGTAAACAGAAGACAAATCTTATTGGATGTGTAAAATCTTGTTTAACTGTTATTTGCAAATTTTACCTTGAAAAGCTAATTATTTAGTACTTTTTTATTTTGAGACGACCCCTTCATTTTACCTGTCAGAGTCGGTGTCAAGAGTTGGTACCGAGACTTTCATTAAATGTCTTATAGTCCAATATTACTGTAACTGCATGAAGCAAGACACAAATGAATTGTTAAAAGTGTATGAAAAATACAAGTCAATTTGTAAGGAATTTATTGTATCAACTTAGTTTATGAAAGGGATGCTATGTTTTTTTTCTTTTTTTTTTCAGGCCAATTTTTATCGCGGAAAAGAAGATTATTTTTTCAACAATTTTAACGAACTATTCAGAACAATTATGTTTTCTCCGCTTTGTTGGGCATTACATATTTTTTTTAAACTGAGAATCAAGATTGAATATTATGCTTCCACCACCACCCCATTATAAAGTACGTGACTGTTATTCTAAAGAAAATAAGAACATTTTGACATTTGATAATTTGATAGATGTAAAAAGTTAAAAACTGACACGAAGAGAGCACAAACTCGTGATACATGTATATGTAACACGAAAAATGAAGGTCAAAGTATGATATCCAATACAGTGTGAATCAATAAGATTTTCAAAATCATACATGCGAATGTGTTAAATCTGGATTGTTTTAAAAGTGATGCATTATTAAATTCATCTCACATAATGTCCCTTTATCGTAGCGATAAATTTTAAAAAAATACTTATTTGTTCGAAAGTTAAAATGTGCGTCAACGACGATTTTTGGTATTTCAGTCTAATAGACGGAGGAAAGGATTGTTTCTCTTTAACCCTATCAAAGATGGGAAATAAAAAACAAAAAGGTAAAAACCTAATTTGCAACAACACACGATAACTATCAAACGAATTAAATGTTCAAATAAATTATAGTCTGCATTTTAATCAGAGAAAATAACGACCTTACACAAGTCATTATTTCAGCCTTGAAGCAAATTTCATTGAAGTTTGGTATCGTCCGGGTTGATTCTTCAAAAGAAAGACCTATCGCTCTGAAAGAAAATAACTCCATATAGGTATATAATTAACTGTAAAGAAATGATAAGTGCTGACGACATGTTCAATCAATTTTATAAAAAAAAAGTCGGTGAAATATAGATTTTCTATTTTTTTCTTCTTCTTGAAAATAAACAATCTATAATAAAATTACTGAAGGAAATGTTAAAAAAAAAAAAGGCTACAAAACTTAATGGATACACACTTAAATTAGATGAGTATTGCGGTTCTCAAAACTATAAAATATTAATGAAATGCCGAGGTCAGTCAAGGTTTTTATATAAAGTTAATACTTGTTTTTATAATCACACATATAATAATGTGTATTTAAATCCCGTCTAACAAAACTGTAAGTGGTATTATAAAATCACACATCATTTACGTTTAACTGTAACACGGAAGTAGTGTGATTCTCTTGTCACTTTTTCTCTGATTAAGGCAGCCATCAAACTCAGCCAACAAGATATTCCGTAAGTTGTTCTTGATACTTTTGTTGTTAGATTTTCAGTTTTTTTTGTGTATAAGACCTCCCATCAGTTGTTTGTATTATTTTTAAGTGTTTTGTTTACTAACAAGACCGAACGGATGATTTCGGTTAGTCACTCAACCAATCAAGTTTAACATGAAAGACGTTCAAAAGTTCCAAATTGATAAAATCAAATTTAAATATCTAGAAGTCTTAAATAAATATGGTTCCTTCAATTTTTTACATGTTCCCATGATATTTAAATTCTACTAAAAAGAAATAGTGCTTTAACGTTGCTTTTGATGACAAGTGTCAAAATAAAGTTATTTTTATCTTCAAGACACTTATATCAATGCCCAACCATTTTAAAAGTAGAGGCGGGTCAGTTAGAGAGCAATCTGGTTTATAAATCAAATATTTAAATGGTTTACAACCCGTTTTATTTATATGAATAAATGGATATAGCTGTCGTATGTAACATCTAAAGGTTTTCGTTTTTGAACGAACTAGGTGTTAATGGCAGATCTTTGATTGTTTATGTAAAATTAACAGCTTTTGTAGACGCTGGACGATTTAGAGCTTGGCAAATTGTATAGACACCTGTCTTGTGTTGGAGACTGTATGTTGTCCTCTATTGATGTCTTTTGTTTTTATTTGTCGTTGAGTTGCATATACATTTGTACCTCACATCCCTTATTATTTATATACAAGGTTTAAATCGTTGAAACATTAAACAAAAATACAATATACCCTGAAAAGATATATAGTTCAATAACTTCAGTTCTTCAAACCTAACAGACTACCAAAGATCCATAATCAACACACAATTGTTATTGCAGGACAAAAACATTTAGATATTTGTATAAACAACACTCGCGAGGTTCCTGTCATGAACATTAGCAAGCGAGGGTTTACATTAGTTTTAGTACTAAACCCTCCCCTATTTTTCTATAGTCAGATGGGGAAAACAATCAAAACCTTTTCAACTGATTTGTTTAGTTTTGTTCTTATGTGGTACTGTTACACCAATGTCCCAAGTCAGGGGGATGGTTTGGCGCCAGCAAACTTGTCCAACCCCGCCACATTCTGTTTGTGCCTGTCCCAAGTCAGGAGCCTGTAATTCAGTGGTTGGAGTTGTTGATGTATATCGTATTTGTATTCCGTTCATTGTATTATACATAAATCAGGCCGTTAGTATTCTAGTTTTAATTGTTTTACATTTTTCTTTTCGGGACCTTTTATAGCTGAATATGCGGTATGGGTTTTGCTCATTGTTGAAGACCATACGATTACCTATAGATATTAATTTCTATGTCATTTGGTCTGGTGGAGAATTGTCTCATTGACAATCATACCACATTTTCTTATCTTTATAAATCATAGCTTTCCTTTATTGAGTGACAAAATTACATTACCTAATGTCATAGTTCAGAGATTCGTCAATCGTGATCGGATTCAAATTCCACCTTAAGTTTTGGGGAAATTACCTATATTGGAATTTCGTATTTTCATATTTTTTTTAAAACGAATCTTTGGTGTATTTAAGTAAAGCCTTCCTTGAAGTATGAAAAAAACATGTAACTGAGACAGTATTTGAATTCAGTATAATTCATGGCTTCAAGCAAATAATTGGCAGCTCCAAATAGTTGTTCAAGACTTACGCAAACAGTATTTTTGTTTTAAGGCGAGAAAGAAAACTAAAAATGCATTTCGTTGGAGACTTTTTTCTTATATCCTATACTTGTCCGAGTGTTCTGACATTTTCATCATGTTACATACATGTACTAGTATTGAGAACCTTACGGTCTATTGGCAAACTACAAAATATAATCGTTTTTATTGAATTTTTATTATGATCACTTTTCTCTACATTTTATTCATTTTTGAGGTACCAAAAATCGTTGTTTAACATTGATCTTCGTTTTTGCGATTTCATTAATATGATATTTGATTATGCAAACGTAGTATCAAGCTAGCAAATTGAAACATGAGAGGACATATTTTAGGAAATACCAATTTTTATCTATTGAACATTCCCCGATCTTTTTCCGTCATGTTTTAATATAAGTAAACGTAAATGTGAAAACTGATACTGCACTAACTGTTGTATAAGTTTTAAGTTACGAATTTCCTGTATCCAAATTATATTATAGAATCAAATGGAAATATTTGGAAGTAAAATACAATTCCAGAGATTAGCATTGTCCCACTTAATGTCACGAGTTCCAAAATCATATTAATATTCTTGTTTATATGTACCTTCGTTAGAACTATATTAATCTACGGCTATTGAACTTTATACTTTACATAAAAATTTCAATTTTCACATCCGTGGACCTTGTCCGATGATATTTTGAAAAACTCGTCTGGTTATAATCCTATTTTTGATCTAATAACAGACATTGAACTTAACAATTTCAAGGAATTGACAGTCTTTAGTTCTATCTAAGCTATCATTTGTGAAATTGTACTGTTTATGGTACATGTCTGTATTCACCTGCGTAATAAATAATTATAGTTAGAATATACCAAATTGCTCTCGACCAATGAATGTTTAGAATTAATTTTGGTGTTCCTTAATTGTGAAGGATGTATTTAGAACATATTCACACTTTCGAGTGACCTTACAAAATTATCCTTTCCCATTGTAATATTCAAACCTTAATAAGAATTCACTTTTTAGCATTAACTAGGTTAACAAAATGAATGTATAACATAGGTAATGATCATTTCAATGGATGGAATGAAATAGCACTGACATAGTTTTGTGAGGACAAAAAGGACAAATTGTTCAAACATTTAGTATTTCTTGATTTTAAAAAGCACACAATGTTAATATTTAAATCAGCTTTTTGAAATTTGTATATTTTTTGATAATTATAAAACTCACTTTTCATTGGACTTAGAAGGGGTTAGTATGTTCTAATTACATATACATCACACATATAAGGATTTCTTTTCAATCTATTATACCATTTCCCTGGTTTTCACAAAATTATGTCCGGAATAAGAATGAGAATATCTCAATGTTAAATTGGCTGACACTTACCCATGCAGAAAGTAGAATTTCACTGAGGTGTAAAATTTAAAGTAAACAAGTTTATATTTATTTCAGCAAACTTTAACAAAAAGAAATTAAGGGACATATTGAAACAAAAAATGACATTTGAATGAATATACAATTAAAAACGCTGCGGTCTCAGTTTTATTCACCTAATTTTTTTTTTTTTTTTTTTGTAATTACTTCTCCCTGAAATATTGATAAAAAATAAAAACAATAAATTCTAACAAATAAATGCAGCTATTCAGTAACAAAACAATATATAATGGACATACATGTGAACATTATTCTGCATCCAAGCTAGCATTTACTTGGATGAATCACAAATCGGCATCTTATTTACTTTATTTAAAATGAATGACTTTGTAAATATATCATAATTTGTTACTTTGTAAATTTATTATTCGTAACTTTTGAAATATATTGTTTTTTGGATATCAATATTAACCATATAGTGCTTCATATTACTGTGCTAATTACTAAATTGCCTTAATTTAATAATTGTAATGAGACTATTATATATTTTGAACATCAAAATTACAAATTTTGAGTTGACAAATCAATGTTCCCTGCAATGTGCTAATTTTTAGTGAAAAGTTGAACAACTTCTGTTACGTCATACAACTTGACATATAAAAAGCTCAAACAAGCAGAAATCGAGTGCAAGTTTCAAATTTGAAGGAAATCCTGATGCATAGCGCGAGTTTTCTACCATTTCCTGTACAGATACATGAGATATGCAAACTTGTTCCAGGGGATACCTATTTTATTTGTGCATTGTGTGCAATACTTTTTTATTCACTAAAAAAGACCTAAATATTTAGATGTCTTTTTCGAGGAGACAAAATGTGCTGTCTCCGCCTGGTGTCTATCCTAGTCCCCTTGTGTGGCATTGGACACCGGTATCCTTCATTTCTAGTTCATTGGAAAAGATGCGATTTGAAGGGACAATAACTGCGATGTTATCAGCAAATACAGACCTCAAAATCCAACTTCATATTTCTTCTCTTAGTGAAACCAATTCAGACGGAAACCCAGTTTAAATTAAACAAAAGAAAACTCTTTGTTAGAGAAAGTAAAAAAGGTCAAGTTGGTAAATTTGAATAGTTTACATCTGTTTCTAAGGGCTTTAAAAGTTTAATGAATGTGCCTAATTTAGGATTTTATGCGTCTTATGTATGTGGTTTTACCTAAATTATGGTACGGAGATTCGAGATTTTGTTAAACTTTTAAATTATAAGACAAATTTTCACAAAACAGTCGATTGTGGTAGGTGCAAATACCTGTGGATCTTTTTTGTGCATAAGCATAGATTCCGCCGAAAAAAAATCCAAAGAAAGATAATAGATTGATCTTTTTAAAGCAATAATTTGCATCTCTGCCCCTGGCGACAGTTTTTTTTGGGAAAAAAAAACAAAATAGGCAATAATTTCATCGAAAAGAGAAAGTCGAGTACACCTTTTTATGTTCTGGCGTGTTTGAGTTGACTATTCTGTCTTGAAAACGTATAAAAGAAAAATATTTGATACATCATCTCGCTTAAGATTCTAATATTTTTATATATTTACGTGGATATAATAACATTATAAATTTACAGTACTAAAAATGAAATGTATGGGTCAAGTGAAATACCTTTCTAATTAGTCATGACAACAGAGTAGGTGTGTTCGAATAACAAATTTTTACTAAAAGTACTTGACGACAGACTTTACAAGTGGATCTCAAAAATGCATAACTTCAAAAAAAATTAATTTTTTGTGTGTGTTATCAAGGGTAATTAGTCTTCAACCTCTGAAATTTTTTAGTCTGCCCTTCCACGAAATATTTAATTAGAATTTTTTTAAATATTTTTGAACTTTCGAAAATTCCCCCTGACAACCGATCAGACGCTAGTTTTAAGTTGACCAAATCATAAAAGTACATTAAATGATGCTCTATAGCTAGTTGATACATTTGTCTTTTAAAATACAACTGGCATATACGGATCGTAATGATGCTATGTGGATAAATTTATCGGTTATCAAGAGCTAAATTGACAGCGCGTCATCACTACAATGGCTTCCATTTTTACGGTTATAAAAATTAGGTGGCGTAATGGGGAGATAATTTTACCGAAGTAGAATCCTGACTGCAATTGTGATTTCATTTAGATAAATTTGTATTAATTAATATATAATAATGGAATCTTCTCATTTTAGGTGACGACCCACAGCAGAGAAGAAAGAGAATAGAAGGAGAGTAGACTAACCTATAATGGTTTACTTTTATAAATTTTGACTTGGATGGAGAGTTGTCTCATTGGCACTCATACCGCATCTTCTTATATCTAAGTATTTTTAGTTTATCATGAAGTACGATGAATCACTTCCTTAAACTGTATTACGCATTCTATCTGACAATAATTATTAATTGTACAAGAAGAAAAGTTTATCAAAATGAAAATGTAAATATAAATAGAACTTCATCATACTGCAAAGTATTAAATACGTCATTCGTATGTGATGGGGAAAAAAACGATGAAAAGAATACCAGTTATTCCGCGCAATATCACCAGACTAACTATACGAAATGGTAATTTTTCTCATGTAAACCGGGAAACGTTTGATAACGTAGAAAACAGTTCAGTTACAATTCTGAAACTAAAAAACTGCATGATACAATTCATAAGTAAAGATGCTTTCAAAGGGCTCAGCAAAGTGGTTGAATTTGATTTGTCCGGTAACAACGGACTTGTTCCTGAAGTTATTGCTGAGAGTTTACATAGTCTGTCTGTTTCAAGAATAAAAAGGCTATATTTAACACATATGGAATTGACAAACTTGCCAAAGAACATGTTTGCCGGGCTTATATCGACAAATGTATCTGAGATTTATCTTAATAACAATTTTATAAAGTCCCTAGATGGAGAAATCTTTAGGGAATTGATTCACTTGCGCAAGCTAGATTTGTCATGGACAGGAATTTCTGACTTGAACTATAACTTTACAGGGTTATCCAGCTTAGAGACGTTGTCACTCTCTGGAACATGGTTTTCGAAATTCCCAATATTTTGCAATGGAAACCAGAGCTATCTTCCGAATTTGAAGCAACTTGATTTAGATTTCAGTAAAATAGACTCTCTGTATACTCCTTTGAAGTGTTTAGATAATTTAAGAACTCTTAATTTAATGGAATTATCTCTTCGTCTACTTTACAACAACACCTTTTCAAAGCTGTGGTCTTTGGAAAAGTTAAATTTGGATCGACTTGGGTCACAGTTTAGAAAAATAGAACCTGGAGCTTTTAATAGTAAATCCTTAAAAAATCTGACGTTTTCCGTCACTAGCAGCTTTGCTTTTAATACCACTAACATTAGAAAATTTAAACTCCAATCACTTTTTTCGAATTGCAATCAGTTGGAATATCTTGACTTATCTGATAATAGATTTCAATTAACTGAATCTTACTGGTTAAAACTTTTTAAACCATTGAAACGATTAAAGGAACTTAGACTAAAAAATGCAAAAATTCAATATTTACCAACTTTCAAACAAAACGTTTTCCCTGTGTTACAAAAACTTAATTTAGCTTCAAATAGAATATCATCGTGGGAAGAAAGTAAACCTTTTAATGAAATAAAATCTTTACAATTTTTAAATATTCGAGGAAACCGTATTTCTTTAATCAACAAAACATCTTTTCCCGAAACATGGAATAACGGTAATGGATCTTTTAGAACACTTCTGTTAGTGGGTAATCCGTTTTCTTGTACCTGTGGAATAGCATGGCTAAGACAATGGATGGAGACAACCGACTCGAAAAACATAACCACAGACAAAAACATATGGAGATGTTCTATTTCAAACTCTAAAGTACTGGAATATCACCCCATGCAGACTTTTCCATGCTTAGTTACATATATTGTATCTTCGTTGATGGCTCTCTTAGCAATATTAGTGACATCGTTTATTTGCTATATATTTAGATTTCAAATAAAACTTAAACTCTACCGGTGTAAATCGAGGAGAGATGGTTATAACTTAATATCAAACAAAGGATATGTCTTTGATAGTTTCATAGCATATAGTTATAAAGATCTCAATTGGGTAAAAAACCACCTTATTCCAAAACTTGAGACGCAGCATCATCTTCAACTTTGTATACGTGATCGTGATTTCCGACTAGGGACAGTGTTTTCAGATCACATAACAGAAAATATTGAAGCAAGTAGAACATTTCTTCTTGTACTGTCAGACAATTTTGCAAGAGACAAGTGGTGTAAGTTTCAGCTTGACATTGCAAATCATATTGGGATTTCTAGAGGAGATTTGTCTATTATACCTATTATATTGAATGATATAAGTTTTAATTCCTTAAATGAATCAATTTATAATGTAATAAACAACACGGATTGCATGGTATGGTCAGAAGATGGACCAGCGTCAGAATTATTCTGGACAAGAATAGTAGAGTGTATTCCTTCAAGTTACTCCAGGAATGAAATTCGCGACTCCTCCGCAAGCTTTTCAATACAGACCTTTGATTCTGAAATTCTGACGTAATAAAATTAATTTTCAGGTTAATTTTATTTGATATTTCATTGACAAATTACAATCTTTCTTCAAATGTGTGTTGTAAAAGTTTAAAGATTATTTAGCTTATATATACTTTCGGGCATGTAAACGAACTTATAAATAAAAATATATAGTAAAATATGAAGCAATATATACACCCAGGCACTGGCAGATGGCAAAATTCCTGAGTCAGCCAGAATCGCCACCATTGCAAAAAATATTATTTAGAAGGATAAGACAGACACAAGAAGAAAGACGGAGAAACATATTTAACTATTTGAACCAAATAAAATATGCTATATATTCTCTCCATAAAAAAGACACCACATTCCAGATAGAAAAAAATTATGTAAAAAAGGAGGTTCATCAGAGAAGCAGGTTTTCATTCAGCAGGGATTTATTTGTCTCTGACAGGAAATGTTATTCTGACTTGGAAGTATACACATTGGACCGTATTGGAAAGGCTCCGACAGCTACAGAGAACAAGAAAATGGCCACATACGCCAAAAAATCGGTATAGTCTTCAATGGAGACCGAAATTGAGGAAAGCGTTACTACAATCTACATCTGTCTCGGCAATTCAGTTGCCAAGACAACCTTTCAAAGGCTATGTGGATACTGCTACAGACACACAAAGAGACACGCCAATGTATATGATTTAGCGGACGGTAATACTCTACAGCGACGCGATAGAACACAAAAATATATATTGTTTTGAAGTCAATATCAACACGAAGAAATGGCTGGGTATATACATACCACCCTCTGTAACTCGCAAGGATTTTACTTAATATTTTACAAATACCCTTGACAAAAGAAGTGTTAAATCATACATAAAAAGTAGTCATTTTACTGCACCAGATGCGCATTGCGACAATTATTGTCTCTTCAGTGATGCTCTAGACCAAAATATTTAAAAATCGAAGAGCTGATCAAACCTAAAATGACCCAAAGTGAAGACAAATCCGGACAAGGAATCAGAAATTTGCAGGAGGGAGATATAATCCTTAATTCAAAATCATTTCTAAATTTTATAACAGCAAATACCAAATAAATCTGTAAAGGATGTTGTTTTATGTGACTTGAATTTTCATATAAATTTCATATTTTCATAAGCATAGTAAATGTCAATTTTTACATGATGTATGTGATATTTTAGAACCAACATGTTTTATGAAAAACAATAACCGTCATTAGTTAGGCTACAGTGGGGTATTCCCTTAGGTCACATGATAACGTTTTAAAAATGTCTCAGGTCATCAGGTCACTTTAAGCAAACTGAATTGATCTGATTCTCGATTTTGAACATTTTTAAAGGTCACACTCGGATCCTTTTTAAATGAGGCGTTAGGTCGGAGATCGGATTTGACCATGTGCCACAATAGTTGATGTTATTCTTACCAAGAAAATGTATTATAATACATTCAGAATTCCAACCGACATGACAGGTGTAATATTGTCACAAGTTAATATCTACAACAAATTTTTAAAGCCGTTGGTTGATAACATTTGATTTTGACAGTTTTTGTGAAAGATCCCCCTTTTGAATTGACCTTCGAGTTCGGTATTTTTGTTATACTTTTTGTACTTGTTTACCTGTACAGGCAAAAAAGCAACAACAAAAAAATGACAAACAGAAGTTACAGAAATATAAATAGTTGCTAACAAAATTTTAAAATATCTGAAACTTTTGACAAAAAATGCATATATAAAATAAAATAAAATGATATTCATTCTAATTATGAAAAGGGTGTCACAAATATACATGATAAACCTGCTCTTTTAAAAACACGATACCCTAGACAAAGATGCACTCCAATGCATGAAAAGTGATTTCAGAAAGACCATTCATCGTAAGCATAGGTTATATTCTAACTATACAAAACAAAGAAATGTAATAACCTGGGAAAAATTCAGAAAAGAAAGAAACCTGGTAAATATTTTTAAAAAAAAATATCTGCGAAAAATTTCTTAGAAAGATGCTCTGGTGGTGCAAAATCCTGTAATTTTTCAAAAAATAAGGAATCTTTTTTCTCTAAAAAGCGGAAGTGAGACAAAAAAAAAACCAAAATCGTAACTGACACAAAATAAGTTACAGAACATTTTGATACCCTTTTCAACCGTAGCTGAGAAAATTGGATATGAGGTCGCATATTGTTTGGCCAATCTTTCCGTTTAAACTACTACGATCGAGATGGTAGAATTTTTTTTTAATAAAGTAAAAATTAAATAGACTTCACCTGGCTGTGACGGTATTCAGCTTAAACAGTGAAACATATGAAACCCGTTTTTGCAACGTAGCTAACAGATCTAATACATGTATCATTTGAATCTAGTGTATTTCCAGATCAACTAAAGGAGGCACAAGTCACTATACTTCATACGAAAAAATGATACATTAGTAATAACTAATTATAGACTATAGATTTTCGAAGTTATATGAAAAGGTATTAGGAAATCGACTGTCAGATTAGTACGATCAAATTTTAAATCCATATGTAAGTGCATTAAGATGAGGTCATGGATGTCAGTCCCAAATACTAAGACTTTCGACGGTTTGTAAAAAAAACCTTGATAAAAATGATTACATATATAGCAACTGTTTTAATGGACCTCATCAAAGCCCTCGTGAAATTTTACTTGAAATACTATCCTTTCATGGTGTTTCTTCTTCGGTTCCCCTTTTAATTTCATATTTATCAAATAGAAAACAACACACAGAAGACGGTAACATACTAAGTTGTAAGGCTCATATACAGAAAGGCATACCACAAGGTTCCATTCTTTGACCTCTCTTGTTAAACCATTTTATAAACGATAATTTTGTACTTTACAATTAAGGCAGAGCTCGTTGTATAACTGTGTAGAGGACAACACGTTATTCCTCAGTCTGTAGTTCCGATGTTGACAAGCTAATACCTACATTAAACATGATGTATGTCTGCAGTGAAGAAGGTGTATATGTTAAAGTGCATTTTCTAAATTTATAATGGTTCAATTTTACAATTTGTTATAGATTCACTTTTAAATTTGTATGTTTGGAAGTATAAATGCTCCATATTAATTTTAAAATTTACAACTTACGTAAAACAATAATCTGATATTTATTCTAAAAACAATCTATTTGGATTCTTGAATGAGTCCACATCAGACAATTAGTTTCCTTGCTGGCATACACATTCCCCAACTTGCAGTTAGGAATTTAAAAGAACGAGAAAGAGAAAACGGCAAAACAATACAAAAGAACGCTTTGGCATGGATTAATTCTATACCAAAACTGCGAAATAATGCAGACAGATGAGAAAAGTTATTTTTTTTTACACATTTCAATGTTTGGCTTCCCAAGAAATGCATTTTGATTGGTAATAATTCACCTAATCATTGATGAAAGAACTGCTACCAGAAAGAAAGACAAACGAGCAATCGTACAACTAGCAAGCACTTGCTAAAGATATTGTCGGTATACCTTACGATGCACATAATGCCATTTGCGATGGGCAGTCCTTGTGTTGTAATTAACTAGCAAAACTTACCTTAAATATAAATAAGAAGATGTGGTATGAGTGCCAATGAGACAACTCTCTTAAAGACTGTACTTGAAATTACAGATTCTCTACTTCTGTTGTGCACATAGTTATCATGACAGTGAAGTTGCAGCTCACGAAATCTAGATGGGAAATATTTACAACTGTTGTACAAACTTGAACGATCTGGGCTACAATTAAATCATCTTATCCTTGCAGAAAAAATAGGAGGTGTTGATGGGGTACATGAATTGCTAACCGAGTATTTTGACGGGAAACCCCCGAGTAACAAAAGACAAGCAGATAATTTAGTCTATATCATCAAACATTATGTCTTTGACAAATGAGTAAATTACTGTTAACCTATAGCTGTGCAATGGAACCTATGGGAATGCAACCCGAGTATAAATCTCAATAACCGAAAATTATACCATAGATATCTATCATCTATGGTATAATTTTCACAATTATACCATGGTTTTGTTGTATAGGGTCTTCGAGAAAAAGAAAGATTGCAAGACCTGGCTGCCTGAATTTTTTGGCATTTGAACAACAGAGTCAGTGCGAGGCCACTAAGCTAAACTGTCCGCTTTGCACCAGCCGATATAAATGAATGCCTAGGGTGGGAATCGAACCCACGTACACCAACTCTGCTGTCTTATATTTTTAAATGAAAAAAATCGCTCCTAGAACAAATAAACAAACAAATAATTTGAAAGTTTAAAAAAAATATATAAATGTGTATATATTATACTGGAAAATATAAGTTGTATTTCGGTTATTGAGATTTATACTTGGAATGTATTCCATAGGCTTCACTGTACAGCTACATGTATAGGTTTGAATTTGCCGAGGCGGCTTTTTTTTGGGGGGGGAGGGCAGGGAGCAAGCCCCTTTTAAGGAGCTTCATATTTGGTAAATGCATAGACTTTTTTCATTGTATTACTCCGAATGTTGGCTTGCTAGATCCCCCTTTTAGAATCCTGGACACGCACCCGATTTGTTATACATTGCTGATATCTAGACTTTAACGAGGTTGTTCAAATAAAAACAATAATGTTGAAATGTTAAAATTAGATAGCGTGTGATTTTTCTAAATGAAGCTTACTTTTTTGTGTAAAATATTGCTAGTAAACAAGTGATTTTAATTATGAACATTTTGAAATCCGTTTTAATTAATGTACGACTTGGGCTTCAGGTACATATTAAAATGTGGAATGATTCATGCAAACTCTCAAACAGATTCTTGTGAAATTAATTTCCTCCGAATTATAAATGAATATTAAAAAATTAAAACATTCGAACATTTTGATAAAATAAAAAAAAATAACCCTTTGCAGTTCAACTTTTAATCTGTGGTCTCTTGCGTCCATATCCAGAACATCTAATTCCTTTAACATTGTTCGTCTGTAACGTTAACCGTCACCAATGTAAATGTGCATCCATCGCTGTCGAAATATCTCGTCTTACTGATGTTCCCGCTGTTTCAGAAGCCCGTTTTTATTTTAGAAAGTAGGCGGAGCTTTATGTGTAAGGCCCGAAAAGGGTTATTTAACTGATTCTTATCAAAACTATTTTTAAAGTAAACAAACAAAAATATATGAAATATACAATTTTAAACAGCAAAAGATGCGATAGGTTAAAACAGATATTCCATATTTTTTGGATAGTTTTGCGGTGTTTCGTAAATTGCACCATGATAGTTTTTTGTTGAAACCCCTCGGCAGCTTATAGTTTGTGAATAGCACAACTTCGGATCTCCTCACGGTCATCCTCATAAAAAAATATTTTAATCAACATAAAAAGAAATAATCTTTGAGAGCTCATCTGGTAGCACCTGCCTCATATTTTAGGTTTATTGAAATCCGGTGATTTTAACTGATGCATTGCTGTATTCATAGTAGTATGTTTTATATATACAAGATGCTTTTGATTTCATACTCTTTTTTATTTGGTAAAAAGTTCATCTCAGTTCATTAAGGTAACAGGTACATAAATGGCTTGTCAAGCGATTTTTGTAAGAAATTGTATACATTTAGAACTTTTTAATATTTTTAAAGCTTAGAAGATTCCAAGAGTTTTAACCTAGAAGAACTGATTCGAATAGTTCTACCCAAGAACTGACAACAACAGTTCTACATTAGAACAGTTCTATGGCAGATTAGTCTGACAGTTCTAAAGGGAGGTAAGAACTAGTGTTGATCCCAACGGTAAGTTGTATTTTTTTTTTTTATTATTATTAACAGTTTTCTTGTTGATCTCTTTTCTATTCATTTGTTTCAAGATATGGCGATTTCTTTTATGTACCGCATTTATTATTTTTTGCGGATTTGAAAATTAGCCTTACGAAATTCTAAAAAAAAAATTAATGAAAATAATGTAAGTTTTTATATGCCATAGTTGAATGTTTGGCTATTCATTAATTTAAAAGTTATTCCTCTTTGAATAGCTAGTATCTGTGTCGAATACGACATATTCCATTTCCAATTCCAACAATCCAAAACAAACCTCATGTCTAATCTAATTCTTGGCCCCTACGACAGACGTAGAGGAAAACCTCAAACCACACGGTGATCATCAGACGAGGACAG